GCGAACATCAAATACCAAATTTGAAATAATTCTTGTATAAAATGTCGCTAAAATCATCAAAATACCGAATATCGGGGGTACCGTTATATGGGGGCTATACGAAGACGTGGACCTGCACAGACAACTTTCCGTCATAGGCTGTAGTATCCATTTCGAACTTTAAATACCAAATTTGAAAGAATTTCGGTGAATAATGTCGCTAAAATCATCAAAATACCGAGTATCGGGAGGTACCGTTATATGGGGACTATACGAAGACGTGGACCTGCACAGACAATTTTCTGTCATAGGCTGTAGTATCTGTTAAGAATTTTAGATACCAAATTGGAAACAATTCCGGTAAATAATGTCACTAAAATCATCATAATACCGAATATTGGGAGGTACCGTTATATGGGGGCTATACGAAGACGTGGACCTGCAGAGACAATTTTCTGTCTGAGGCTGTAGCATCCATTTCGAACTTTAAATACTAAATTTGAAACAATTCCGATGAATAATGTCGCTAAAGTAATCAAAATACCGAATATCGGGAGGTACCGTTGTATGGGGGCTATATCAAAGCGTCCCATTTTCAATACCATGTCCCATTTTCAATACCAAAAGTCCTGCAGATATAATATACATTTGAGTAAAATTTTATCAATTTGCTTCATTTCGTTCGGAAGCTAGAGTGATTTCCACAGATGGACAGACGGACATTTCTAAATTTTATGCTGATCCAGAATGTATATACTTTGTCGGGTCTAAAATGGATATTTCGTGGTGTTACAAACGGAATGACAAACTTAATATAACCTCCATACTATGGTGGAGGGTATAAAAATACATCTAGATGTTTGGATGTATGGGAATAGCTATAGCTAGCTTAACACTAAAACGCAGTCGTTGTCGTGGGTGCAGTAGAGAAAGATTTCAACACAAAATCTCGATACAGCATTTCCATCTACATGAGGTAAGTTTTTAAATAACCTAATTGTTTTTCCTTTTTTTTTTGAGAAGCAAAGTAAGTGATGCGGTAAAATGGGGCATTTAGTGATAAAATTCAGTAGACATTTATAAATCAATTAAAAAATGTTTAAAATTTATTTAAAAATTGTCACAATTTTTTCATATGGTGGTATTAGTCCATCATTTCTGTTAGGTTGCCAAGTATTTCGTGCAGTAAAACTAAAAAAAAATATATATCAAATTTTTTTAGAACCTTCAAAATGCAACTTCCATTAAAAATAGTATTTTTTATATTTTACTTAAATATCACTCATGTAAGTTAAAAAAAATTATTGTTTTCGAAAAAAATTTAAAAATGCACTTCTAGTTAGTCTATACACACAATATTATTAAAGCCACCAAATTGATTTGTGCTCCAAGTCCAAAATATTTTCTCAATCACACGTGTCGTTTGAAGGCTGTGAATCGTTACAAAGCATTGGCCTTTATGGAGACGTACATTAAAAATGAAATACGTAATTTGACCGTAAGTATTCATGAAATTTAATAAAATAACATTTCAATAAAAAAAGTTAATAAAATGTATTTGAAATTATTTAAATATTTTTGTTTTGTTTTGTATTGTATTCTACAGGTTAACATTGGCCTCTATGCCCGCAATGATGTCAACACCTATAATCCATTTCTTGTCAATTTTACCCAAAACATTTGTAGCTACTTGGGTAACAAAAAATTTGGAGCCTACATGAAAGTATTCATGGATGTTTTGAAGCAGCACACCAACGTAAATCATAGCTGTCCACTTAGGGTTGGTAGATCAATCAAACGCTTTATTATTATACTCTCATCCATATGGTTAGGGAGGGTATACATCATTTGATTCGGCCGAAACGTGCCTCATAGAAATAACGGTTTTAGACCCTAGGTCTCTTTGGACCAAATCCGTTTCAGGACATTTGGAGTCGATCTCGCGATGTCCGTTCGTCCGTCTGTCTATCTGTCTGGTGCCCACGATAACTCTAGACGGGGGTATTTGGTCCAAACTTGGTACATCGTAATGTTATTATCAAACGTATATCGAATTCTGAGATGGGCAATATCGGTCCACCCCTTCTGGGACCTCCCCAAAAAAGGTCGAAATTTTCAAAAAAAAAAATATATTTTACTGCACAGGAAGAGAAAGGATAATCCGATTTTGCTCTAACTTTGTCAATCGTAATATTTGCATCAGTACCAGGTCAGGTGCGAAAATGGACAATATTGGTCCACTCCATAAATGACCTGCCCCACAAAAGTTCAAAAATTTTTTATGATTATAATCTTATAAAACGTGATGTAAAAATCCGATTGTCTCCGATTATACACATCACAATATTTTTATTACCCCAAGGTCTGGCATGAAGATGGAATATATCGGTCCATTCCTTGTGGAACCTCCCCCACAAAAGGTCGAAATTTTCAAAAAATATTTTACTGCACAGAATGAGAAAGGATGATCCGATTTTGCTCCAACTTGGCAAATCTTAATATTTCCATCAGTGCTAGGTCAGGTGCGAAAATGGTCCACTCCTTTAGGTACCTCCCCCACAAAGGGTGAAAATTTTGAATAATAACAGCTCTTATAAAATGTGACGTAAGAGTCCGATTGTCTTCAAATTACACACATCACAATATTTCAACTAACCCAAAGTTTGGTGGGAAAATGGATTATATCGGACCACTTTTTCTTGTACCTCTCCCAAGAAAGGGTCAACATTTTCATTACCCATTAAGCTCGTAAGACGCGAAATTAACATGCGATTCCATTCAGACTTGGTACATCTCAATATTTCCATCAAAACAATATCTGTAACAACAATGGTAGAGATCGGACTATTCCTTCTGGTACCTCCCCCACAAAGCGTCAAAATTTTGAATAATTATAACTCTTATAAAATGTGATGTAAGAATTCGATTGTCCTCAGATTCGCACATCACAATATTTTTATTAATTCAAGGTCTGGTGTGAAAATGGAATATATCGGTTCACTCCTTCTGATCCCTCCCCAACAAAAGGGTCAACTTAAAACGCGCAATTACAATGGGATTCTATTCAGACTTACCACATCTCAAAATTTCTATCAACACAAGATCTGTAATATAGATGGTAGAGATCGGACCTTTCCTTCTTGTAACTCCCACACAAATGGTCATCGTTTTGAATAAACAAAACGATTATAAAGCATCCGGTTCTTTTCATATATCACCCATCCCATTATTTCTACTAACACAAGATCTGCTGTAAAAATGGTATATTTCGGTCCTCTCCTACTGGTACATCTCAATGTTTCCATCAACACAAGATCTGTTATAAAAATTGGAGAGATCGCACTATTTCTTCTGGTACCTCATCCACATTTTGAAAAAAAAAAAAAACGCTCATAGAAAGCGAAGTAAGCATCTAACTCTCTTCAAATGTCACACATACAAACATTTTTGCTAACAAAAGATCTCTTGTTAAGGTGACAGTTATCTAACACCCTTCTGGTACCTCACCCACAAAGGGTCACAATTTTCAATACTTTTATCTGTTATAATTTGCGAAACAAGTCCGCGATTCTTTATAATTTGCTATATCTAAACATTTCTCTCAACCTTGAGATGAAACCTGAGATGAATGGTGTTAAAGTCAAAATATATTTAAATAATCAAACATCGATTGAGGGTATAAATCTGTTGGCAGAACCGACTGATACTTTTTAACTAGTTTTTATTAATTTTCCTTCTTCTTTTAGGGTTTCCTAACGGCAAAGGAGTTGTATATTGAGGGGAACTCAATATCGGCTTTATTTCGAAAGGGTTCGTATAAAGCAGTTTTTATTTTCTATGAAGGTTACCCCATGGACTACATCGGTAAAGTGGAGTATTATGCCGATTTATATGATGTGAGGAAAATACCGAGAAGAAGTTAAAAATCTACCAAAAATATGTGTACTCTATATAAGAAATGTTATTTATATGTGTATTGCAAAACAAAAGTAAAAACAACAACGAGTGGGACAAGTGGAAGGTTTTGGTTAAGAATTCAGTGAAACCCCTTTATGAGTTTGGTTGTTATTCAGCCGTTTGAAAACCTATTTCCTTTTGAAGCGTTTTGTTGTTTTTTTTCGGCCTGATGAAAAGTATTATAGAGCAAAACATATATATATATATATATATATTTATATATATATATATATATGTATATATATATATATATATATATATATATATATATATATATATATATATATATATATGTATATATATATATATATATATATATATATATATATATATATATATATATATATATATATATATATATATATATATATATATATATTCGGCATTTTCATTATTTTATCTACATTATTCACCGATTTTTTTTAAGTTTCACATTTGAATATTGTAATGGCTTGTGACAAATGTTACCTGTGCAGGTCCACGTCCTAATGTAACAGCTATATTTGGTATTTTCAAGATTTTATTTTTAACGAATTTAATTTTTTTTTTTTGAAAATTACCAAATTCGTTCCAAATGGTGGAGAGTATTCAAAGTTCGGCCCGGCCTTACAACTTTTTTTACTTATTTATTATTAAAAGACATTGAAATATCTTTATAAACCAAGATTTTCGTCCTGAAAGACTTTGCAAAAAATTTTTTTAAAATATATACGAAATATTTAAAATTTTGGACAACTATGTTTTAAATACTCTCCATTATTGATCAAGTAATCCTTGAAAATTATTAAAAATCACGAAAATGTTATTGAGCATTTGTTGGAAATTAGATGTATGAGATCTAACCAGTATATTAATATATTTCGATATTTCCAAAGTTCTGACTACTTTTACTTTCCAGCTAAAACTGTGATGGTACATAGCTTGAATCTTTAATAAATTAAAATAGATTTTATTAAAAAAGTCAGCTCGGCTGAACCTATGATTTTTTATACATTAAGTTTACGTCCAACTGTTAAATAAAGCATACAATTCTCGACAATCCATTTATTTGAGAACTTCTTCCGAGGAGTTAGTAACAGTTTCACATGAATTTTATATTTCTAAAAACAAATAATGCATTTTGAATCGCTCCTAGTTCTTCTTTTGCATTTTCTTGACATCATACAAGTCGGCATAATACTCCACTGTACCAATGTGGTCCAAGGGATAACCTTCGTAAAAAATGAAAACTCCCTTGTACGAACCTTTTGGAAACAATGCTGACATGGAATTTCCTTCAAAATATAAACCCTTTGCCACTAAAAGCCCCTGAAGAAGAAGAAAAACTTATTTAGAAAACCGAATACCATTGAATTGAAATAAATACAAACCTCATATGGACAGGAATGATTGACGTTGGTATAACGAAATAAAACATCCATGAATACCTTCATGTATGTTCCGAATCGGTGATTACACAGATACCAGCAAATGTTTTGAGTGAAATTGATCAGAAATGGATTATAGGTGTTGACATCATTGCGGGCATAGAGGGCAGCATTAACCTGAGAGTTTTGAGGGAGATATATTGGCATTTGAATCTATGACTGCTCTTCAATACTCACGGTTACATTATTTAACTGATTTCTGATGTAGGCATCCATAAAGACTACACTTTTGTAGCGATTAACAGCCTTGAGACGACATGTGTGATTTATTAAATATTTGTAATTTGGAATACAGATTAACTTCGTGCCTTTAATAATGATTTCGGTGTAGACAAACTGCAAGGTGAAATTATTAATTTTTTTTTTATAAAAGATTTTGAAAAAAGTCACTCACACCAATTGCATTCAAGCCAAGTACTAATAATACGATTTGGGTTGAATAAAACATTTTGAAGAACCTAGAAAAATGATAAGATAAATTAAAGTTTTTTTTTTCATATTTATTTTGATTTACTTACGAAACTATTTTGACTGAGTTCTTAGGGCTTCAAAATGCCTTGCCCGATATGAATACTGCGAATCTAGATGTAATATAACTCCCAACCTTGACAAACAATGAATAGCATTGTGGAATTTGTATGCATTTCATACAAATAATTGTTTATCGGTTTAATAATTTAAGGGAAATTAAATTAATTTTTACACATCATTGGAAATAATGTAAATGTTCCATTTCGAATGGTTTTTATTTATAAATATTCCTTTATACTAAGAAACCAAATGCAGCTAAATTCGGCGGGGCCGAACTGTTTATACCCTCGACTATGTGAAAATTTCAGTTATTTCGAAATCTTCAAAATTCAAATTCCTTAAAATTTAGAAATTCCGTTATGTTGGTACTATCCCTATATGGAACATTTATACTCTATACCACAATGTGTTGGGGTATTATAAGTTTGGTTCTAGGATGTTATATATGAATCTTCCTATCTCACCGAGCTTAGTCGATATAAATATTATTATTTTACCCTTTGTGGGGAAAGTACCTTAAAGAATGGGTCGATGACTTCCATATTCAAATTAGAACTAATATCGATGCATTGTGCGATGTTAAAAGAAATATCGAATTAATATTTAAAAATTTTTGACCACTTGTGCGGGAGGTGTCAAAAGAAAGGGGTTCTATATTCACATTAGATTTCGAGTTCAGTCAAATATTGAGATATACTTAGTTGAATGCTAAATCGCAATAAGTTCGAAATAAATACTACTTTCCACAGATCATAAAATATGCCTGATGCGCCGTTAATCAACGGCGAAACGCGTCGCATGGTGGTGAGTGTGTGATAGTGTCTATCTGGCTTTCCTTTTTACTGCAAATTTCAGATCATTAAGCTAGTCTAGAAAGAGAGAAACAAACATAAAAACCGCTGACTTCTTTCGCATTTTATTCGTATCCAAAATATTGACCCTTTGTGGGGAGGTACCAGAAGGAGTGGCCCGATATATTCCATATTTACATCAGATCTTGTACTGTAAAAAATACTGAGATGTGCTAACTATGAAGACAGTCGGATTTTTATTTCTTTATTTATAAGAGTTATAATTATTCAAATTTTTGTGGGGGATGTACTTGATGGAGGGTTCCGATATATTCCTTATTCACACTAGATCATGCGTTGATGTAACGAAATCGAATGCCCATTTCCTGTTTTATGAGCTTTATGGTTATTAAAAACTTTTACCCTTTCTGAAGAAGATACTAGAAGGAGTGGATCGATATCTACCATCTTCACATCAGATCTTGTGTAAGTAAAAATATTGGAATGTGTGAAGTTTAGTATGAATCGGCAGCTTATTTCGCATTTCATGAGAGATAAAAGTGGTCCGATATATTCCTTCGTCATAGCAGATCTTGTGTTGGAAGAAATCTTGGGCTGTTTGAAATTTTAAGACAATCCGACGCTTATTTCACATTTTATAAGAGTTTTGCTTATTCAAAATTTTGAACCATTTTGGGGAAGGTACTTGGTAGAGTGGAACGATACAAATGTTAGGACTTGCAATGTTTAAACAAAATTAGATGATCCTTACTTGTTATAAGAGATAAATTATTATCTATATAATATGGGGAAAGTACCAGTAGAAGTGGACCGATATTGTCCATATCTCATTTCGATATAAGTTTGGTGAAAATATTATGATGTACCAAGTTTGGGTCAAATCGGATTCTCCCTTCGAGTGTTTTTGCGCGCACCAGCCAGACAGGAAGATGGACGGACGGACACCCCCACATCGACTGGAAATGTCCAAAAATGGATTTGGATTTGAGACATAGGGTCTAAATCAGTTATTTCGATGAGGCAGTTATTTCCTCTGTAGTCATATGACCGAGGGTATACAAAGAACAAACTTTTCTAGAAAATCCAGTGTTGGGCATCCTTTCGAGATCTCTGGGAAATCTTCTACACCTAATAATGAAATATGCAAAAGATCGTCTTTCCTCTATAGACAGTCTAACAGTCGCAACACACTCCACCCAAAATGATTTTCATTATTATTTAAAATTGGTTGTCCAATTTTTTTCTCATTCAAAATGAATTTGATTTACATTTTTTTATTTGTTTTTGTTGTCATTATCGATAATTTATTTTAAATATATTATTTATATATTTCAAAAAAAAAAAAAAAAAAAAATTCAAGCGTGATAGTGTGATTTCTTTATATTTGGCTGGAAAACCACAAGTGGCTATCGTTAGAGCCCAGTGGCTGGTAGCGTAGCCCAACGTTGGACTATTGTGTTTGGAGCAAGCAAGGTTGGCACTAAAAAAAAAAACAAAAGTGTCTATCATGTCGATCGAAATTTAAAAAAAAAAAAAAAAAAAATAAAAAATTATGGCGTTTGACTTTGTTGCAGTTTTTTATCTCACCTGTACATTATTTGATACGACCAAAACGTGCCTCATAACGAAATAACGGTTTAGGTCCCTAGGTCTCTTTGGACCAAATCCTTTTCAGGATATTTGGAGTCGATCTAGCGATGTCCGTCCGTCTCTCTGTCTGTATGTCTAGCTGGTGCGCACGATAATTTCGAAGGGTGTATCCGATTTGATCCAAACTTGGAACATCGTAATATCATTGTCAAACTTAGATCGAGTTCGGAGATGTGCAATATTGGTCCACTCCTTCTAGTACCTCTCCCACAAAATGTTACCATTTTCAAAGAAAATAATTTACTGCACAGAAAGAGACACAACAACCGGATTTTTCTCCAACTTTGCAAATCCTAATATTTGCATGAGTGCTACGTCAGGTGCGAAAATATCGGTCTACTCTATCAAGTACCTCCCCCACAAAGGGTCAACATTTTTAATAATTATAACTCTTATAAAATGAGATGTAAGAATCTGATTGTCTTCAAATTCCACACGTCATATTATTTCTACTAACACAAGATCTGGTGTTAAGATGGAATATATCGGTCCACTCCTTCTAGTACCTCGCCCACAAAGGGCAGAAATTTTAAATATCCCTGAAGGTCATAAGATTCGAAATTAACTTGCGATTCAATTTAGACTTGGCACATCTCAATATTTCCATCAACACAATATCTGTTATAAAGGTGGAAGAGATCGGACAATTTTTCAGAAATCTGCTATGAATATGTTATTTATAATTCCGCATAAAATTGGATACAAATTCCGATTTCCTTCAAATTTAAATTAAAGTATGAGAATGGTATACTTCGGTCCGCTTTATCTGTTACCTCAAGCATATTTGTACATTTTCCAAAAAAATTCTCATGTCTCATATAAGGTATAGGAAGTAGTCGATATAGTCCAAATCCTGAACGCTGTAATATTTATATCAGTCTTAGGTCAGATACGAATTGGTCCGAATTGCTTCGGAACCTCCCCAATAAAGAGTCAACAGTTTGAATAATCATGAGTCTAGGCTGGGGGTATACATCTGTCTGCAAAACCGACTGATACTACTTTTCTTGTTTTTTTTATACCCTCCACCAAAAAAGGTATGGAGGGTATATTAAGTTCGTCATTCCGTTTGTAACTCATCGAAATAATCATTTTAGACCCAACAAAGTATATATATTCTTGATCAGCGTCTGTTGTAATTACGCTACAGTCTAAACGAATTAAGGTAGAAAGCTAAAATTTTGCACAGATCTCTCTTTTGTCTGCAGGCAGGTCAAGTTCGAAGATGGGCTATATCGGTCCATGATATCGTATAGCCCCCATATAACGGTACCCCCCGATATTCGGTATTTTGATGATTTTACCCACATTTTTCCACGGAATTGTCTGAAAATCCACACAAGGAGTTCCTTGTGGGTACTTTATACCTCGGCAGAGAATTGTTCATATAGGTCCACGATATCGTATAGCCCCCATGTAACGGTACCCCCCGATATTCGGTATTTTGATGATTTTACCCACATTTTTAAACGGAATTGTCTGAAAATCCACACAAGGAGTTCCTTGTGGGTACTTTATACCTCGGAAGAGAATTATCTATATAGGTCCACAATATCGTATAGCCCCCATATAACGGTACCCCCCGATATTCGGTATTTTGATGATTTTACCCACATTTTTCAACGGAATTGTCTGAAAATCCACACAAGGAGTTCCTTGTGGGTACTTTATACCTCGGCAGAGAATTGTCCATATAGGTCCGCGATATCGTATAGTCCCCATGTAACGGTACCCCCGATATTCGGTATTTTGATGATTTTACCCACATTTTCAACGGAATTGTCTGAAAATCCACACAAGGAGTTCCTTGTGGGTACTTTATACCTCGGCAGAGAATTGTCCATATAGGTCCACGATATCGTATAGCCCCCATATAACGGTACCCCCCGATATTCGGTATTTTGATGCTTTTACCCACATTTTTCAACGGGATGGTCACAAGGGGTTCTTTGTGAGCACTTTACCCACCGACAGAGAATTCTCTATATAGGTTAACGATAACGTATAGCTCCCATATAACGGTACCCCGCGATATTCGGTATTTTGATGATTTTAGCCACATTTTCCAATCGTATTGTCTGAAAATCCACACACGGAGTTCCTTGTGAGTACTTTACACGCAGACATAGATTTGTCTTTATAGGTCCACAATATCGTATATCCCCCCATATATCGGCACCTTCCTATATTAGATATTTTAAAGATTTTAAAAGAATTATTATTGGATTTTATTTTTTTGAAAATTTTCTAATTCGTTCCAAATGGTGGAGGGTATTCAAAGTTCGGCCCGGCCGAACTTACTGCTTTTTTACTTGTTTATCAAAAGATAACTTTCAGGATTGCTTTATGACCAGCTACGAATTGTTATCCATAGTCGTATGCTTAGAATTTTGCAATGACTTTTTAATCCGCATATTTCACAATACAAGTTATACAAGTTTTTTAAATTAATTTGTGTT